ACATGGTCACAGTTTCATATCACGCGAGTAGAAAGGATCCAGGCTACAGGCAGTTTTACTGCTATGTATGTCTAAGTAAAGCTCCATATAGCACAGGTACAGTGACTTGTGCTATAAGACACAGTTGTGAAAGATAAAATGGTATTCCTTACTCATTCTGAAGTTCCAAAGGCATTTCCTCAACTGATCTGTGTTCTAGCTGTTTGCAGTGGCTGTTTGACTTCTTAATAGTATTAGGCACTGATTCTGAGTGATGTTATGCTAAGGGATCCTAGCAGTAACTGCATTTCTAATGACATTCTCTGTGAGGAGACCTCTGTCGTGACTATGATGAGGAAGTGTCAGTGACAGGTAGGTCATGCCTGATTCTTGTATTCCTGTGAGATGAATCTGGGCTCAGAGATAATGCGACAACTGGTCATTAATGGCTTAATGTTGAACTTTTTTCTCCTGGTGGTTTCAGCATGAAAGTCTCACCCTGTTGTGGATGTTCTAATGCATATACTAAAGTATGGAGTTTCTTACTGCCTGTCCATTTTATACTTTGATAATTATATGGCATCTGCATAGCTCCAACTTGAAGAATTCCTGAGGGGCACTTCATTTCCCAAGCCTCACAGATCACACCACAAATGGCACAGCATAGTGTCTTTTGGATTGGGCTTTCAAGTTTAGTTTTTACAAACAGATCTTTTTCCATTGTCACAGTCTAGGGTCACTTGTAGTTTTATCTTGTAACTCTCATGAATTGCCTTGTTGGTATTTGATTGTGGGCCTGTTGGATGCTGATGGCACCAGCTGTGTAATGCAGAGGGCTGTGGGTTTTTTTGTTATCGTTCTTCTGTGTCATTTAAAAAGATTGGAGATGAACATAGAGCACTTTACCTGCCACGTTCAAAAATGCCTTCAAATGATGATTCTTAGCATAGGATATGTTTAGACAGTGCTGCTGTAGTGACTAGTGTAGAATTCTCATTTTTAGACTGGTTTTATTCTGTTTGTATTATCTCATTTATTTACACATATATATGCCTTTTCTCTTATACTTCCACCATCCACCTTTAAAACTTGTTGATATGGTATCAGGAAAATGGAACATGTTTACACTGTCTATTCCAAAGAGGATTTACATTCCTGCACGTCATGGTCCTGCAGAGGGTTTTGTAGCTGTAAACCCTGCACAGGTTGTTTCTAGCTTTGCAGATAATGCAGGTGGGAAAAAGCCCCAAGAAACTTGTTTGACAGAGGTGAAGTAAACTGTAAGTACAGCAGTACACAGACAGCTATTTCTACCCTTTCTGGATGGAAAAGAAAACCAGCTGTGGTATTGGTTAGGAGCAGTATTCAGGTTGGTGATTACTCTTTCTAGTTCATAAGAATATGAGGTTAGATTGAATAAAATTTAGTCTTATTAAAATGATATTAAATAATAACACATGATGTAAATGAATGGAAACGAATGAGTAGAATAAACAGCAAAACATCCTGCAGTGTTAGCCTACATGCTTAAAAATGCTTGGAAATTAAATATGTATAGAAGGTAAATAAGACCAAAGAGGCACAACTAAGGGTTTGATTGTTTAACTCTTTCAGTGAAGGATGTTTCTGGACCCATTGCCATCCATTCCTGCTATCATTAGCTAAAGACAGAAGGCTAAAGCCTTGGTATAGGTCATCTGTTTTGATTTTAATGAGACAGAAATTCTAGTTCTTCATTTCTGCCCCAATAATACTGTAATATCTTAGTATCATTTTAGAGCTGATAGGTGGAAATTAATCTATTAAAACCAATGATTTTATTTAGGCCTAATGTATTCTGATACTAACAAAATTCCCCCATCAAATCCTCTGGTTTCTTCTGTCCTCATGAGATTCTGCCCACAAAGATCTATTTACAGATTTGGACCTTTCTTTTTTCTTCCCTCATTCTGATGTATTGAGAATTTTGACCAAGGATATTGGAAGTTAAATCTATGATGTTGTACTGTTCATTCTAAAAATTTGGGATTATTTCCTAAGCTAAGCAGAAAGGAAGTGTCAGCAGCACCTTGACACCTTTTATTTGGGGAGGAGCTCTTCTGCAGTGAAAGATGAAAGACTGAAGAGAGGTGGTTAATGCAATGGAAGGTGGAAGAAGAGTTTGTCAACTGCAGGAGAGAAGTGTTTGAGGGAAGCACAAGGGTGCCTATCTGTTTGCACATGACTGCGGGCTTGACTTCAAGGGCAGCACTTTCAGAAAATGCAAAGGAGGTGATCCTGCTCCTCTACTCTGCTCTCGTGAGACCTCACCTGGAGTATTGTGTGCAGTTCTGGTGTCCTCAACATAAAAAGGACATGGAACCGTTGGAACAAGTCCAGAGAAGGGCCACGAGGATGATCAGGGGACTGGAGCACCTCCTGTATGAAGATAGGCTGAGGAAGTTGGGGCTGTTCAGCCTGGAGAAGAGAAGGCTGCGTGGAGACCTCATAGCAGCCTTCCAGTATCTGAAGAGGGCCTATAGGGATGCTGGGGAGGGACTCTTCGTTAGAGACTGTAGTGATAGGACAAGGGGCAATGGGTTAAAACTTAAACAGGGGAAGTTTAGATTGGATATAAGGAGGAAATTCTTTCCTGTTAGGGTGGTGAGGCAGTGGAACAGGTTGCCCAGGGAGGTTGTGAATGCTCCATCCCTGGCAGTGTTCAAGACCAGGTTGGATGAGACCTTGCGTGATATGATTTAGTGTAAAGTGCCCCTGCCCATGGCAGGGGGGTTGGAACTAGATGACCTTAAGGTCCTTTTCAACCCTAACTACTCTATGATGCTAAAGACCCAGTATCATTTTAAATGTGTGAGAAATGACTGTGTGGTGTATTTAAAGGACACCCTGAAGCCACCCTTAAGATTAGAATCACTTGGAAGATCAGCAAATCTGGATGCATGATTGTGGGCCAGAGGCTGCTTCACAAAGGCTGCAAAGACTGCATGCCTGCACACACTGTTCAGCCCAGTACAGGATGGGCATGGTGCTCTCTCAAGCAGCTTTCTGAGGCATGTCCAGACAGGTTGTTTGGCACCTACCTGCAGATACCTCAGTAGACTCGCTGCAAGACCCCCAAGTGAAAGGGAGGGACATGAGACTGGAAGATTGCTGTAGTCCACCTATTTCTCAGAGCAGTGTTAACACTGCCTTGAAGACCTTTCTGGTTATGCTTCAGTGTTAGAGATGTGAAACAGGATTTATATGAATTCCTAATGTGTCTGAATTTTACAGGGTGATTGTTGTGGTTGTTTTATATCCATTACACGGTGTCATTGCTATTGACTGTGTTGTCTTTTTCTGGTTGGATTTCTTCAGATGGCACTTGTTGTGCTAAGTCATGGTGCCTCTGATTTCACGGTGCGTTTGTTGTGTGACTCACAATTGTTTGAGCTATGAGACTTATTTGTCCTTTTTCTACAGGTTTTAATTTGATGTAAAAAGTAAAATGCTTTCAAAGACTTTAACAGTTCTGATATTCTACAGCTACAAGTATTGATTTGCAATTGGCAGGAGGGTGTGTTTGCTTCAATTAGCAGTGTTTTTAACAAAGAATTCCATTTGCTTTATGCAAAAGAGTCCCGCTGTCCCCTTTCAAACCACCTTCATGTTGGCTGAAGCAAAGCCTACCACATTAACAGTGAACTAGTGCTTATGCCAAATGTTCTCCCACAGATTTTCAAACTTTTTGGCAGTTTTTGCACTGATTTTTTTCACCTAAAAGCCATAGCAGTTCCGAGCTCCCCTTGATGCTTTTTGTGAAGATATCCACTTTCTATCAAGAAAGGACTACATTCCATCCCAGTGACTATGAGTGGTGTCTTACCCATATGCACTGTCCTGGTATGTATGGGCATAGGTACATGCGAGCTTCTTATGCTGTGAAAGGGGATAAAACCCAGCCCATGAGACTGAGTAATCTGGTTATTTAATCACTCTTTGTGACTCCCCAAATTATCATCTGTGTTATGGGATAATATGATCTCTTCAGTATTCAGCAATGACTTTTAAAAAATTACCATCTATAATATACAGAGGTAACATATTACCTTAAGGGTAATTATCAAGTGTGTAATTTCATCTGTAGGTTCTTACAATGATGGTTAATGTCATAAATGCCTTTTAATGAAACTGCAGGCTTGTAACCCTGCCTGACTATCCTTCGTGTGTCATATAATTAATAAGTGCAAGCTTTGGTGTTCATCTCAGTGTCACAAGGCATCATGTAAACTTCCATACTGATGGTTAGGCTCTCATCAGAGTAAGAATAAGGTTAAGCCCAGGCAGTTTGAGTATGTGTTACTTTATCTTTAAAGGCAGCTGGATGGGCTTGTTAACAGAAGTAATTCTAACAGAATATATATGCTTATGAAAAAAAAATGGCCATTGATCCAATGTCTTATTATAACACTACATGCAAAACTTTAAAGGAGTGAAAAGGCTAGTGGGTTGCAGAACTTGGAATAAAGAAGTGTTTTCCTTCTAATCCACTGAGGGTAGTGAAAATCTGTGTCCAGCTTAAAAACATTTGGAGATGGATAAGAAAACTCATTTTGAATTGTAGACACTTGCCTGGAATGTAGAAGAGCTAGGATTGTTTCTCAGTCTGGCCTAATTTCTATGGAGCTCTGCCTAAACTGAGTATTTTTTTATGGTCTTAAGATTTCCTGTCTGGAAAATAAAGGCAGTCATATTTCTCTTCTTTGTCTCACATTTCCAGATTTTAAACTTGCTGGTGCAAAGCAGATATCTACATGGAGTTTTGTTGCTTTTTTCCCTTGGGCAATTACGATAGAATCTTACGGAGTCATTCACACTGGAAGAAACCTGGGTGCTTCTAATCCCATCTCCTGCTCAGAGCAAGTCCTCTAGGCCATTATCTTATTGTGAATACTAGTAGGGGAACCAGACGTTTTACATGTCACTAGTGAAAAGGAGTTCTGAAAAAATCATGTAAGACTCATTAAGATTATTCCCTTCAGGGAATGATGTACCTGGAAGAGAGGAGACTTGTCCATCGTGACTTGGCAGCTCGTAATGTCTTGGTAAAATCACCAAACCATGTGAAGATCACTGACTTCGGCTTGGCCAGACTTTTGGAAGGGGATGAAAAGGAGTACAATGCTGATGGAGGGAAGGTGAGTACTGAATATGTTTGGAAGTAAATGTATCACACTATGACAAACCTCCTGAAATTACTCTTTAGGGCAGTGTATACCTACAGGACTATTATCTGTGTAAGAAAGTCTGTCAGTGACTTAGCAAAGCCAGTCTGCTAGAACAACTGTGTTGTGACAGCACATATAAAAGCTGCTCTTTTTTTGCTCAGTAAGCTTCTCCAGGTGCCAAAATATAATTGTCTGAGCAGTTTTAACACTCAAAATTAGGTTTTGTTCATATGCTCCATTTTCATTCTTGCTTTGAAGACTTCTGAAGTCAGTTCAATGAGTGACGGATGTTCTGGGGCATTCCTGCCAAGCCCCTTTCTCTGGTCAGTATGGACCTCAGTAACTTGCAGTCCCATTTCCCAGGCAACTAGTTTTCCAGAAAACAAAAACTAAGGCCACATAATGTGCCTGTATTTGTAGCATATGAGAGTTTACATATGCTCAGCAAAGAGCAACCTCTTCTATCACATTGGAAAAGCCTATGTATGCTATTTCTTTCATCCACGTCTCCAATACCAAGCTGAATGCCAGGTCACTAAAAAGCTAGCTTGAGGATAATTTTGAAACCAGGCATTTTCCCATATTGCTTTTGAGCACACTGCACAACATCCATATAGTGCCTCACCTCATTTCTAATGCCTTCAGATTAATGCATTTTAGAATTCCAAAGTAAGTAAAGGCTGTAAGTACATACTGCTGCTGGCAGATCCTTTAATGTCTTGAAATTCCCCATTTCAACCTGTCATAAAATCCCAAGGGATTCTGCCTCTCCTGTCACTCCTTTCCTACATGTTCAGTTTCCTTTGTGGCTGCTTGCTGTCTGTGTTTTTCTGTGCTGACTTCTGCCCTTGGCTAGGACAAACAGCTGCTGCCAGTGTGTACTTTCCTCCTGGATGGGCTGCTGCCTTTGTGTGGCTGCTGCCCTGGATGGGGCATGTTATTGCATGGATTACATTGGCATTTCAGTCTATGAGGTGAAGAGCATGAAAAGAGTTACTGCTGTTTCCCATTTCTTCCCCAGTAAGGTCCTTGCAAACCAGCTGTTAGGTGGTGTCTTGGACTTGTGAGGCCAGTCACTATGCTGGGGGTTCTGGAGCAGGATCTACATGTCAGATGTATCCCTTGCCAATTCAGAGAAATCCAGACAGTGTTTGCATCTTCAAGTTGTATTGAGAGCACGCTAAGGCAGATTCAGATTGGATAAAAGGAAAAGCTTTTTCACCATGGGATAATAAAGTGGTTGATTAGGTTGCCCACAGAGGTGGTGTAGTTTCCATCCTTGGAGGTTTTCAAGTGCAGTCTGGCTAAAACCCTGAGTAACTCCATCTGATCTTGTAGTTGAGCCTGCTGTAAGCCTGAGGTTGGACCAAAGACCTCCTAAGATCGCTTCCAATCTGAGTTATTCCATGATGAACGATGCAGCTTTGCTTCTTCAGCAGTTGTTCACATTTGGAATGACCCAGCTGAATTTAATGGCAATCAAAGCGATATACTTCTGCAGAGTTTAGTGGAGGAGGATGAACTGCCTTTGCAAATGCTAAGCCAAACTTTATTAAAGAATGCTATTTTTGCCAGAACTGTATAGGTTATGTTCATTAGTCAACTTCATGGAAGGTATTTTCATAGAGGTTTGAATGAAGACACATCCTCTGCTTTTACACCCACCATCTGTTCAGATTATGTGTGCACTTACGTATCTCTTTGGTTTATTACAGTACATTTTCCGTAGCTCTAAATTAGAGGCAACCTGTACAAGTCCACGTCAGGTAAAAATCTGTCGAGTTTCTGTCCATTAGAAATTAATGGACTGCAGGACTGTTCCTCACAGGCACAGCTCAGGAATAGGAAACATCATGAATCTCATTTTAACACAAACTCAAAAGGGCAGACCCTTATGTCAAACCTAGCTTTGTGTTTGCCTGCACACACTTCTCTGTCAGAAGAGATGAGCTCCTCCCATGGGTGATTCATAGCCAGAGGCTAACTTGGGGCTTCTTACACGAGCAACTTCACTTGCTGCAGTAATGACATGGAGAACTGGGAGGGCTGAGTTCCTAACGAATATTAGGAGTTAGAAATGAAGCACTGTAAACTCTCCCCATTGCCTGTTTACCCTGATGATGATTACATGGACTGAAAAGTATTATGAATGCTGCATTATTAACTAGCCTCATTAGAGGGCAATTGAGATAACAGTGTCTGGGTTTGCAAAGTGCTGAGGCGAAAGAGCTTCTGTGTTCCACTTTCTCTGCTGCTCTTCAGATTTAGAGGAATTAGGTGTAATTTTTGTGTTGGTCCCATCTTTACACAGGTATAATGAAAAAGTGAGTTGTTCCACTACATCTGAATCAGTAAATTTTGGGTGGTATAAGAAGTTCTGTGGATAACTGGTTTGTGTTTCTCCTCTCTGTATGTTTTATGAGGCAAAGCCCCATTCTAGAGGGCAGGAACAGCCATTTCCTCTGCTGGATAGTGCTGCTTTTCTTTCAGCTTGAAAAAAGAAGCAGGAAGGAAGTCTACATACAGGATCTCTCTGTATTGTTTTACTATTGTATTTTAAAGATTACATTTCTCTTGTCTTTCCATAGATGCCAATTAAATGGATGGCTCTGGAGTGCATACACTACAGGAAGTTTACCCATCAGAGTGATGTTTGGAGTTATGGTAAATCTTCATGTGATTAAAAAAACTGTCTCTTGTAAAGCATTATACCAAGTTGTGTTACTGTGTTAAAGATATCCTCTTTTCCTAGGGGAGTTAATTCCAGTGTATTTGGGTTTGGTTTGGTTTTTAATGTGTAACTCTAAACAGCAGTAGTTGTCTCCTGCATTACTCTTCTGCTCACTAAAATGTGATGTCCCTGCTGGGATGACTGCCATAAGGTCTGGCCTGGTAACATTTTGGCTGATTATTATGACAGAAGAAGGCCTCTTTCAGCTCAGCCACAGATTCATAAAAATACAGCTGCAGGTCATAATTCTCGGCAGTCCTTTGAAAATCTCAACTCTAAAAGCCATGAATGTCAAAAAAACATATTCAGGCTTATGGGACTTTCTGTACCTACAGTCAGATAAAAAGGAATTTGTCATAATACGGAGCAAATACAGCAAGAGAGAGAAAAGAAGGTGATTCCAAGCTAACTAAAACAAGCATCCATTCAATTTCACAGATAACCTGGGAATTGGTTAGATAGGTCAGCTCATGTGGACTCCACACACCCTAAAAATCAAGTCACATTTGAGAAAGGAGATGTTCATTTAACATCGGTAATTGTTATCTAGACAAGCTATTGTGCCACATCTGCTGGGCTGTCTGCCTGTTTATCCAGTGTAGATATTACTAATAACTCTTGTATACCTTTATAAGAGGAATTTCTCAGCAGTATCTAGGGCTATAGACTCCTATTTGCATTTCCTGTTGCCATATAATTTTGAAACAAGAAGGTGTACAATTCTATTCATTACTCACTTTTACCTGTGGGTAGCAGCAAAAGACACTGTTTGCTGTGACTGGTTAGCTGCCTTCTCTTCAGCTGAGAAAAATAGATGAGAATTAAGTCAATCATATAAAGCTACTCTTTCTCCTCAAATTCTCTATCCCCTATATCACTTAGGAAAAAAAAATACCCTTCCCTTTATGAAATTCATTTGAAATGTGAGAAGCCCGGAACACCTGTAATCAGAAAGGAGAAGACCAAAACGAGTTATAGTTACTGCATATCTATGTTATATTATACTGGTGTGCAGGCACAGCACTTTTGCCCAGGGAAGTAGCTGAGTCCCCATCCCTGGAGGTATTTAAAAGATATGTAGATGTGGCACTTGAGGACATGGTTTAGTGGTGGATTTGGCAGTGCTGAGTTAATGGTTGGACTCAATGCTCTCAAAGTTCTTTACCAACCTAAATGATTCTATGATTCTATGAATATCAACAAAGAGATGAATGAGGGTGAAATAAATATATGGTTTATATATATATGGTAATTTTGCCCATCACCTTTCAGATTAGCATGACAGCTGGCAAAATACAGTTACTGATCTGGAGGTGTGTTTAAAATGACCTTTGCAATAAAAATAGAATTTAAAGAAACTGGTCTGAGAGCAGTATTTTCAATAATTAAGATTTTGTTTGCGGACAGATTCTGTTACTTACGATATATTATCTTTATTTCCAGCTCTGATGGCAAAACAAATCCTATGGCTATTCAAAAAGAGAAACCGGGCTTTGTAGCACAGCACTATCATAACTCAAATCCACCAAGTGATTTAAGGAAAAAAGTAATACAAGTGGCTCTGGATGACTTACAAGGCAAAGACAATGACATAACGTTACTCAGTGCTGTACCACTGTGGGAAATTGATGCTCTAAGTTAGAGAACATCTGCACTTTTTTGCCCTAAAAATAATAGAGTACATCAGCCCTTCATTTTCCCTTTTGATATGATAAAAGAGCACAATGCATTCTTTTGTTATTGCATCCATTTCCTTTGCCACCATTTATTTGTCTTGGACCTTCCTCTTGTGCCTCAGATCTATTGTGCTGCTCGTTATACCAATAAAAATGAGTGAATTTGGTTTTGAAGATTAACATGAATTGCTGTTTCACCATTTTCTTGATCTTTTTAAATGGGAGACCAAACTTCAGTGTTTTTACAGGCTCTCTTAATGAAGAAGAGATTGCAGTCCAGAACTGGGCTAGAATACTGTGCTGTAAGAAATTGCAAAGGGATATGAGTAGTATGACCTCAGACATTAACACTCACTCTTTTTTTCTGTCTAGGAGTCACTATCTGGGAGCTTATGACCTTTGGTGGGAAGCCATACGATGGAATCCCAACTCGAGAGATCCCTGACCTCTTGGAGAAGGGAGAGCGGTTGCCCCAACCCCCAATCTGCACCATTGACGTTTATATGGTGATGGTGAAATGTAAGTACTTGCTGTTTTTAACATTTCTGTGCTCTGTGCAAGAGGGACACTGGTTTAGAACATTTGCATCTACGGTCTCCGACAGTGCTGGATAATAAGGCAGGCTGCTTCAAAACAAAAGCTTCCGAAGGTATGTAAGTTCCCAAGACGGTAGATTCCATTCAAATACTGTATACACATTTTTCACAATTGCAAAAGATATTAATTTAGCCATGAAGGGTTGAGCTAGCTTCTTATTACTGTCAGATGGTATCTTGTATTCTTGCTGTGAAGTCAAAATGGTATGATTGTTATTGTAAACCACTGTCATTTCCATGACAATTGATTGTGATGTTAAAAAAGATAGTATTAAACATAATCATGGTACATGGATACTCAGCCAGTGAAGCTTATGGAGAGAAATGCTGCTTCCAAATATTGAGGAAAGAAAACGTGAATGTTTTATTGTTAGTAACAAGAATGATGATTGCAATAGTAATAATAAAAAGTAAAATTAAATTAATACAAGAAATGCTACAGAGAGGACATTTTTTACCATTCTTAGTCCAGTATAATAATTTATGAATGTTTTTACTTTAGCAAAAAAAAGGAAAAGAGTCTACATTTATTTCCATGATGCCCACACTAGTGACAGTATCCTCCAAAGCTATGCTTCTAATTTAAAAAGAATTGGGAACATCTCTCTGGTGTTTCTGGCTTAATTTAAGAGAGATTAGCATAAAGACATCTCATCCATCTTATATAGTCCTTTCCCTTTTGCTTCGTATGCAAAAACACTGAAAGAAAAAAAGTAGAAGAGGTAAATAATATATCTTCTGAAAATAGTTGTACGGTGCATGCAGGTATGGTAATTGTCTGACTAGTGCAGGGGATTTACATTGGTTGAGTGCAAAAAATGTTCCATCTGATAGGATTTCTAATGAGTATGAAGTGGATCTCAGTGGACAAAAGGAAGTTCTGGTAGATGGTGTATTGTGAAAGATGGAAAGTTACAGCTAGGTGTACATACTTAGTCCTCTAATGTTTGTGTGAAATTCTTCATACGCTATACTAGGGTTGTTTTTCCTGTGTTTCCTTCTTCAGTTAAACAGCATGAAGGAGATAAGCCCTGTTTCATTTAGCCTCTCTGGCAAACAAGACCATATTCTTGGGAAGCTGCTGATAGGATCTTCCATTAGAAAAAGCTGACACTGAGATAAACTAGTTGCTGGTGGTAACTGCCTATATTACTTCCTTGTTTTGCAGAAAACATTAGCAGGGTTTGAAAATTGTTGTTCCTAATGTATAACATACATTACACTTAGAGTGAAGGACAAAAGAATCACCGTTACTCAATTAAAATAGCATCTAGTGCCTTGTGTGAAGTCTATGTTAGTGATGCAGACATGAGTTGCAGAATTACCTGAAAGGTGGAGGCGGGGTCAGTCATCCTGTAGAGCCGTTGAACAGCTCTTTTTAATCTAAGTCATCGTGGAACAGTAGGTTAATAAAATTCGGCATTCGGTAGTAACTGTGTGGTAAACCTACTAGACTCAGATGAGATGATATTCATTATATCAGAGTTTGGACACATCCATAAGAAGACACAGTCAGAGCTGACAAACAAATGGGCAAGATAAAGACAGAAGGCATTGTTAGTGTCTCTGTTTGGGGAATGAGGAACAGGAGCTCAGAGCAAAGGAGATATCTGTGCAGTGTTGAGCAGCCTAGTCTTCTCTGGCCAAGACCAGGTGTTTTCATAGAGTTCTAGCTTTCCATTCTCCTGGTCTATTTATTGCAACTTTTCTTTAGGCCAGAGCTATCAAGGACTTCAAACCTGTCTGTTTTTAAAAACAGAATGATTTCTTCCCTTGACAATTAACTGCTTTCTTTATCATTTCATCTGTCCCCAGGCTGGATGATTGATGCTGACAGTCGGCCAAAATTCAAGGAGCTGGCTGCTGAGTTCTCTAGAATGGCTCGAGACCCTCAGCGATACCTCGTCATTCAGGTAAGCAACTCTGCAACATCAGGGGAAAGAAACAAGACTTCTGTCAGCCAAACCTGACTGTTCAGGGAGTTGCCTTTGAATCTCTAAGTTCAAGGTGGACTTACTTTAGACCAAGGACTTGCTTGTTTCTGTAATTGCTTAGGCTGACTCTCAGGGGATTATCCTGAAGAGATACTTTCCTGCACTGCTGAGATCATAAGAAAGTTTCTTTTCATAGCCTAAATGTAAAAGTTTCTTAGAAGACAGAGAACTGTGTCAGATTGGTACCTCTCGTGCTAGAGGGGAGCTTCTCTCTGGTCCTCTTTAGGCTGTATAGACTCTGTAGTGCTTCACAAGGGGCAATGCCAGTATAGCCATATCTGCTGACTGCACCTGGCTGGAGCTGTGTATGCCCTGAGTACAGCCACACCTGGAAATTTTTGTCCTTTCACTCCTACATTCTGCAAAAGCCTAGAGTTGTGTCTGTGTGGATTACAACTCAGACTCAAGCCACAGAAAATGAATCTATCTTTTCGGTAAAGTTCTTTGATGGTCCCATGGTGATGATGAAACACCAGACACCAAAGCATGGAAATAGTTTGACCCAGGTAATGATACTCTCATGCTATATATCTTGTTATATCTGCTCCACACCATGGAGCAGAGATACGTCCAGCTGGTCCTTAGCTCCACACTGACATAAGAATTCCTAGCTGAAGAGCCTCCAGAAGTACAGTCACTGTTATTTCATGTCTCCTGATTGCTTAGTGTCTAGTGCTAGTCTCAATGTGTGGTGTTTCATTGCACTGGTTTAATTTCCCATCATGCTAACCTACTCATGATGTATTATTGCCCAGTGTGAATGTACACTGCTCACCTTCAACTTGGGGTGAAGTAAAATATATTTGAAAAGTAAAATAGTAGCCAAGAGGATTTGTGGTGCAGAAGGTGGAATTTCTGTTGCAGTATTCTCCACTGTGTCAAATTGTAAATTCAGCTCATGCAAGTGATTCTGGAAAAATCAGTCTGATTAAACTGCATAGTTAGGATATGTTTCCCTATTCCAAATACATGTTCTATCCCTTTCTCTCCCCTACCATTCCCTCTGTTACATACTCTGGTGGGTATTTCGTCCCATGATGCTTCTCCTGCAGATGATACAGGCCATGTGTTTCCTGAGGAGAAACCAGGGTAACTCCATTGTACTGGTATCTCTGACTCATGACTCCCCATTCCCCCAGATGCAATCAAGAATGACAAGCTTAACGTTGAGCTTTTGAATTGGTCTGTATGCACCCCCCAGCACAACCATCATTCCCTGCTGAATTCTACATGTGGCATAATAATTACTGCAGAGCAGGAGGCCATTTTTTAGCCATGCAGTTAACTTTAGCATCATTTCTATGGGCTGTTATGTGTTTGGGGCATGGGCTGCTTTTTGTGATCTTTTGTAGCACAAAGCAAAGTGCAGCCCTGATTTGCCTCTCCAGCTTGTAGATGCTATTTCAATAAAAACACATATTGTTGCTGTTGTTTTGATTTTTGCTGGTTTGATTTTTATTGCTTTCAGCTCTGTTACATTCTGCAGAACTTTCCATATGGATGAGAGGGAAATTTAGCCTCCAAGTCCCTAAAAATACAAATAAAAACAAAACAAATGCCCAGACACAGCAGTTTCCATGTTATTTCCCCTCTCCCTATCTAAGCCCAGGTAGCCGAGATATTTCACAAAACACATCAGGCCTTGACAGAACTTGGGTCAGAAACTGAGCTTCTATGGGGAAAAGAGAGAAGAAAGAATAAAAGCTTGATCACAAGAATGCCAAAAAAAAATGGTTTGGTTTGATTTATACACTTATTCCCTTTCTGTCATCATATTCCCTGTAAGAAAAAAATCAAAACAAATGATGTGGCTGTGGAACTTTAGAACAAACAAAATGCCATGTGTGGTCCCTGCAGCCTGGCTGCCAAGGCATGAGGAGGCTGAAGTTCCCCGTTAGGGAAATTATTTCATCTTTTGACCATTTTGCTCTCTCACTACAACCTATTTAGGGAGATGACCGTATGAAGCTCCCAAGCCCAAATGACAGCAAGTTCTTCCAAAACCTTCTCGATGAGGAAGACCTGGAAGATATGATGGATGCTGAAGAGTATCTTGTCCCTCAAGCCTTCAACATTCCTCCTCCCATCTACACCTCCAGGACAAGAATTGATTCCAACAGGGTAAGAGAAGATGTCTCTGTCAGAAAATACTGGTTATCTTAAAAGCACAGGTGGAGATTTAAGTACACTAATCAAACACAGGCCAGAGTTGCCTTGGGAATTACAAGCTCCCATTGTAAAAAGAGTCACCATAAAAGTGTTGTCACTGGGTTCCCTGTTCATTGTAGCTCAGTGAATTCTAACTTAATAGTTCAGCCTTAAGTGAACAAAGGCTGGAGCTGAACTGCCTGTCCTGAAAGCACAGCTGAGGCTTGTGAAGTCAAGCAGTGTTGTTTCTTAGTTGCTGACCAGCCCAGCCAGGAAGTGCATAGCTCTGATTCTCCCATCCCTGCAATCCTGTTGTCTTGACAGGGTTGGCACTGATGTAACTGAGAGCACCTGGAATACAGAGATAATGCTGCTTTTGTGTCTGGAGCCAGATTTCAGACCCAGACCCTTTTCCTGTCTGTATAAGATGCTTTCACAACCCTCCTTCAAAAGCATGTGTTTTTCCTGAGCATGTCACAGATTTTAACATGTTGAACTTTTTAACATCCCTGTTGAGGGCAGAAATGCTGGTCATTTTACAGGGGAGCTGAGGCACAGAGATTGTTCAGGAGGAATTCAGCTCACAGAATTCTAACCATCAAAAGGATGATGTCTCAGGTGATATCTAAGCTTTTCATCGAGACTTCAGTTCATGTCATCTGAAAAGAGTGGGTGATTATAACTGTCTGCCGTGGACATTTGCAGTCAGATAAGTTATTTTCTGGAGGTGTCTTTCTCCACTGGCTAGGGGCAGCTTCAGAATAGTCCCAGACTTGGTGTTTGAGCTCTGGTGGTGACATGAGTTCAGGTTTGCAGAGGTCATTGTCACTCCTGAGCAACCTGCCCATAGCTCTGACCTCTGCCTGTTCCTGCACTTGGCTCCATCCTTTTAACAGTCTAGGTGCCATCCCTTCTTACAAAGCTAAGAGCTGGTGAAATGAATTATGAGTGTGAGGACATTCTCACAAACATCAGTTGTATTTAGTAATTAGGGGTCTTCTTTGTTTCTTTGTTTTCTCTCATGCTCCTTTTAGTGGAAAGTCCCATTTTAAATACTAAGTGGAGTCTCATTGAAATGTTGGTGTTTATTCCTCATGGTTTAGAAACCTTTGTTGAGATTTTTCCTTAGTAGTTCCAAATTCATAACCTGGCTGAAGTGATGACACAATATGAGGCAGGGAAGAGGTAAGCAAAGCAGCTAAGAGTGTGTAAACTGAGTCAGTATTCATGATCTGACCACATGCTGCATGAAGTTCTTCTGCCTCTCCTGAGTAAATCTGTGCTTTTCTGCAATAAGAAAGACAAAATGTGATCTTAAATAGTATCCAGACAGTTCATAAGGGAATTGCTACTGTTTCAAAATGTAAGGAGGCTGGAAAGGTCTTTAGAAGAGGCTGGACTAGGCTACTAGGGCTAGGCTGCATTCACATAGCATTTCTCCTGCACTGAAAGGCAATGAAGGAGGGGATGATGCACGGTTTAGCCGTAAACAAGAAACTTCCTCTTTATGACACAAGAGTTAATTTCTAGTGTTGATGTTGGTCTGAAATAAGTCAGATTTACTCCTAGCTGTCTCTGGGGAGGTTCTGTTTCCTTTGCTGTGAACTTCTGAGTAAGAAAGGAAACAACAGTAGTTACCTTTGAAAGGTGCTTGCTGTCACAGTGATGTAAATCACTGTAGTGAAGCTTTACTAATGGAATATTACCACTTACACCAACATAGGGTTGAGAGAGAGCAGAGTCAGACCCATAAGGTTTGCTATATTCATGTCACACCCATGTTTGCTAGACACGCTGGGGCACATTTGGAAGAGAAATGATCAGCAGGATAATGTACTTGCTTTTTCAGCAGTTCCTTTTGCCCCTAGTCTTTAGTGCCAGCCAAGCAGAATCGTCCAGTAGAGCTGAGGGAATTAATTCCAACCAAAATCCTAGAGTAAATATTCCAAAAGAATTGTGTAAAATGTGCTGTTTGGGCAGCCGGCGTTCTCACTGGGATATTCATGGAAAGCAAACACATTTATTATATTATTATTATTATTATTATTATTATTATTATTATTATTATTATATTGAAAACTCTACCTTTCTCACAGCCTTTGCCCAACTTTGAGCCACACTGTTCAGCTGCTTGCACATGTGTGATCCCCTTGAAGTCAGCAAGGCTGCAGAAAGAGACCCGGTGCCTTTATTTTTGCCACACAGAGAGGCTCTATCACATTCTTGATGTGAAGTCTCCTCTCTGCAGCTCACAATTTCCTGTCTTGGTTTGAGACTGTGATCTTGGACCACTAAAGTCAGTGGGAGCTTTGCTTTGCAATTCAATTTAATGACAGCAGCAAGACTGAATCCTTCTTTCAGTAACTCCTACTGCTGGGAAATCTTTCTCTGGCATCATACAGCAATCTAACACTTAAACAAATCTGGAACTATGCTTTGCCAAAAGTTTTCACATTCTGAGCCAAGTTCTCTGACCCAGGTAACCTCAAAAAAGGGCAGATGGGGGAAAAGCAAGTTTGCACCCAGCGTGGTATTTTTGCACATCTTTATAGTGTTTTTCTTCATTGTAGGAACCTCTTTATAGAGGGGGAATTTTTAAGGCCGAAAGAAGAGATAGACAAAGGAATTGCCATTGAGAAAACAGATGATTTTTGATAGCACTTGCTGGTATCACAGGAGACTGACTCCTGTCCATTACAGGATTATTTTGTAGTAGAACATTGATGCTTCTCCAGCATCTCAGATTAGCTCCAGTCTCAGCTTTACTAACAACTCTGCATCTTCTACCTGTACTGCCAGTACTGCTGTAGAGGTGATTACATCTAGATTGCAGAAATGCCACAGCACCGTGTTGCTGGAAGAGCTTGGAGTCAAGTTGAAAGCCCCATAGCATCTTAACACTTCTGGTTTCCTTTGCAGAGAGGTTTATTCTGAATGTGGTACATTTGTTTCCTCTCTGTGCAGAAAGCTACATACTTGTCTTGTTTTTCTGAAGCACTCGGGTTCTTGGTACATTAACTATTCTTGCAGTGAAGATTCATGTTGATTTAAAACAAAACACATATTAGCTCCTTTAAGGTAATAGTGTATCTGCTGTGTATAGTTCAGTACAGATGGATGTCAGCTACAAGAATCACACAGAATTGAAATGCTGTCAGAGCTCTCTATCTGCAGTTGTCTGATTCTGTGTGTTTCCTTTGGAAAGTTAGTGATTTATGCTTGTTTGGTGTAGTGAATATTAATATTATACAAACTCATCATGGTGCTGCTGCAGCCATAGATGCCAAATGAATTGGTACAGCTTAAGTAGTTTGTGTTCACTGTCTCTGGGAAATTAAATTTTATGGTGACATTGACAGCCAGTTTGGTGAAGGAAAACACATAGACGAGCTACATGATCTTCATGTCGTTTTCAGAGATCAGATGAAAGATACTGGGTTTCCCATCTTAGTTGTTCTGACTGTAGTTTAATGAAAGTCAGTTATGTGATAGCAAGGTACTGTGCTCCTTTTCTGGGTGCATTGTACTGACAACTTTAGTTCAGCATTCCAGCAGTACAGCTCTATGGGGAACAGGAGTCCCCAGGAAGAAAGCAGGGAGATTGTGGCCCTGCTCATACTTAGGCTTTCAAGTCAGGGAGTTAAGGAAGAGCAAGAGTTTTTACTTTCTAAACCAAGCTCTGAAGTTTCTCTAGGGTGACCTCAGTCCTGAATCCTTGCAGCTTGTTGCCTGTGAGAGGCACCACTGGATGAGGTTTGCTTAAAACTCTTCCTTCTCCCTCCCATATGGAGAAGAAAAGCTATTGGATATGAATTAATAGCACAGACCTACTATTAATTCATATCCAATAGCACAGAACTTTGCAGCCTATTAAAGAAGGCTGGAAAGGGGAAAGGCTTCTGGGGAGTTTCCAGCTCCCCAGGAATTGTGACATCCTGCTTCTTCCAGGGATTACTGAGACTGATGAAGCTGCGAGGCTCAGACACTGCTTCAGCATTTCCATCTCACCCACACTGGCTTCTACTAGCACATCTTTGGGACTTGTGCTACCAGGAGCAAAATCCTGCACGCACTGTGGCCCCTAACAGTGGCCTCTGTTATGAAGTCCAGCCTGTGATAGATTGAGCTTTTAAATAAAAATTAACATCCTAAGCTAAATTGAATTCTTTCATTACGTGTGAAACTCTTCAGCTGCAATTTCAGCTCTGCAACTTTTTCCACCTTTTCCATTGTCTAGAGATATTATAGAAATGTGGAGTTCTAGAAGCTCTGTGCTTCTGAGAGATAAGCTGAATCCTCAACAGTGTTTCTATGAGCACAGGACCCCAGCTACTGCTTGAGTGTCCTATGTTCCACCATTAGATGATTCATTCAGGTATTTGTAATGAGTATTGTCCTGGTTGCACAGAGATAGTACTAATACAGAAAGCACTCTGTGTAGCCCATGATGCTTTTTGCTTTAGATCCTTGGCTAATTCCTGCTGAAAACCATCTATACTGTTTATTACTTGCTGATCCTGTCCCTGCAATTTTATTCCATATGCTATAAACATGAAAGCATATGCCAACCCTGCAATTAAATATGAAGCTATTTCTTTTCAGAGGTGTCTAATTCATATGTCCAGGGAGACGTTTCTACTTGGCTAAAGCAGACTCTGGCACACCAAAAGCCAGTTTTAAATACCCTGAGTAGTATCTGGTATGCCACTGCAGCAGTCCTAGTGTGTCATTAGGTCTGGTAGTGTTTCATGGCTCAACATCTGTATATATCTGTGTGTAAAAAGATTATTCCAGAGAGAAGCCAGGAAAGAAGCTATCTTAATGATTCATTTGTTCTGGTTTCTAAATATGAAAGGTAGCCATTTTCAAATCACAAGATTACGAGAGAAATGGTTGTTAATGGTTTTCAGATGTGTTTCACATCAGTACGGCCTCTTTTTATCATGAACAGCAGGGACTGTTCAACTAGTGGG